GTAAAGGGCCACAAAAATCAACTACATAGTATATTGATAAATTTAAGAAATAAATAAAAATATTCGTTACATTTCTAAGAAATTATTCATGGCAGATTTTACCAATTGCAAGGAATGCAGTCCTCCTGACAATGAATAGTACCAATATGCCAATATCCTAGAGAAATTTTTCTTCACTGAAATTAAGGAAATGGACTGACATTTTATTTTCTTATCTTTTTTTAAAAAATCAATGTACTTACTGTATGGTGGTTTTATTTTAAAACAAAATTTGATACTGCATATTAAAGATAATTTCAGCCTTTTATAATTAATACCTTAAAAAAAGAAACTCAGCCTTACAGATATGCACTTAAAGTTATAGAATTATATCTATGAAGTAAATTAAGATTCACTTACTCTTAATATAAGTTTTCTATGGCATATCCATTAGGTGAATATTCAGTAATAGATGATCATTTAGTAATAGAAGATAGAACCATGATTTAGGGAATAAAGACAAAATTAACATACCATAAATGGTTTTATTTTGTTAATGGAGCATGAAGGTTTATTCTGGAGAAATTTAAGTAAGGAAAACAAGATGAAAGTCCTCAAAAACACGAAATAGGTATGTGTGAAATATTATTGTATGTATTTTATAAATACTTGCCTAGGTGAGAGGTTTTGGACCATTACCAGTCAATTCTCAAAAGATTACTGCTCCGATTACTGAGACATTTTGAAAACTGCAGAATTTTTGTTAAACACCTGCTTTTTTATAGTACTACCTAACATTAATTTTGACCAACATTAATTTTTAAATGTATAACCACTGATAGTATGAATTTTCTCTAGGTAAATATGTAATATCATGTTTTATTTTGCTTAGGCAAGATATGATTTCAAAAATTAACTTACAAGGCCAAACAGATGTACACTTGGCATCTGAAGTATAATGACATTATTTATTTATTTTTTAATTATACATACATGTTGGGTACAGCATTGATTTTCAGCAATTGACATTCTTTAAAACGAAGGGTGTACATTATCTATATGTTGATTCTTGTTTATTTTTTCAATAAATAAGGAATTGTCTCAATATTTTTTAATGTAAAAAACATCACCTAAATGTATCTAAATTTCCAATGAATTAATGAATAATGACAATAGAACTTGTATTAAGTAGCTCAGAATTGGTCTAAAGAGGCATCTTATTAGATCCACTCTACATCTTTTGGG